TTCTACAATAATGGTTTTATGCAGTATTTGTCCTTATGAGACTTAGTTTGCTTAGTATAATGCTCTCCAGTCCCTTAAATTAGGTAATGAGTTACAAAATTATTGCTTCTGCCTGCTGTGTAGTATTCCATCCTGTGAATGTACCATAATTTCTCAATCCATTTAATTGTGGTTGGACATTTGGGCTGTGTTCATATTCTTGTGATGGTGAATAATGCTGTATTGTACATTGGTGTACAAGTCTCAGTTTGTGCCTTAGTTTTCATTTTCTTGGGGTATATTCCAAGCAGTGGAATAGTTGAGTCTTACGGAATTTTTTTTCCTAATAAATTATTTTTTGTGTGTGTACCATCAAATCAGATCTGACTGGTACAAGAGATTGCCTCTCCTTCCCCAGGAGAGCATCTGGCATATTTGAAGTGCATATCTCTGGGATTGCAGTGCAGCTTCTTGCCACTAGGCCACCAGAGCTCCCTAAGTCTTATGGAATTTTTATGTTCAGCTCTATTTTTAAAATTTTTTTAAAAAAATTTTATTCTGATTTATTTACAGAGTTTAAATACATTGTTTTTCACAAAAGATCCTTCCCATTTACTTCACCCCACCCACCCATTGAATAGTGCAACCCTATGATTAACATTCTACCCTCCCACCCATCCTCACCCCTCTATTTACATCTTCCCTCCTGCCTTGGATACTCATACTCATTCTACAAGAATAGTTTTATACAGTATTTGTCCTTGTAGGACTTAGTTCACTCAGCATAATGTTCTCCAGTCCCTCCCAAGTTAGGTAGTAATTTACAAGGCAGCCGCTTTTTAATTTAAAGGGCCAGCCTCAGCTTGTGTGTGGGGGGGTTTTTTTTTTCAGGTAATGAATCTAACTAACTTCATTCTGGAAGTACTGGGGCACCAGGACAGGTTCATCTGATCTTGGCTAGGGCTTTCCTCATGCCTCCTGTGGTGCATGGCTCTGGTAGGTCCAACCCATAACTTAGTAATGGGGACTGTCATCACTTTCTTGGAACTTCCCCCAGCTGTTGCTCACGACGTCATCTCCCTCCCTGCCTCCCCTAGTCTATTGTGTGACCTTTTTGGCCATTTTAGGATGTCTTGTCTAATTCCCCAATTCTCCAAATCATTTTATGTTTGTTTGATTCACAGCTTTTTGTACTTGTCTACCCTGTTTCTAGAAATTTGCCAGCTGCTTCTCACCACTATCTTAGCTTCCTGAGTATCTGCATTAGAAGCCTGGTAAACATCTTTTTTCTCTAACACTTACTTACTTACTAATTCCTGTGGAGTTGGAACTGACCTATAGCTGAGCCTCCTGTGGGTTTTCTGAGGCTGTAAATCCCAAAGGAGGAGATTGCCTACCTTTTCCCCACAAAATCAGATGCTGGTCTATTCAAACCACCAGAGACACTTCACCTTTGGGTTAGTAACGCAACCTCGCATAATGCTAGGCCATCAGAGCTCCCTTTTTCTAACAGCTGCAGTTTTAAATGTACATACACTTGAGTTGGAAGCAAGTCATAGCTTACCATCCAACAGGTTTTCAGAGGATGTGAATCACATGGGAGAAGGTTGGGAGGAGGTTGCCCATCCTTCTCTTCTGTAACAGCTGGTAGATTTGAACCACTTGTCTTTGACTTGGCAGAACAACATAAGCCAGAAGCTCATGAGTTGTCCCAGTGCCAGTACTAGCTTTAAGGAGGAGTTGTGCTTGACAAGTACCAGCAGAGGGTGCTCTGGAGCCTTGAGTCTTGATTTCTTGTAATGGGAAGGCCTGCTAGGCCTAGGGGCTTTACAGTTGCCACAGCCAGAACCTACCTACAAGCAACCTATTGGTTGGCTCCATTTCCCTTCATTCCCTTGGTGTACTTACCCCTGCTGTCTGTGAATGTTGCTGTGGAAGACCCCAGCCAGTGAGCCTCTTTAGGTTCCTGGGCTGTGCTAAACTTGTAGGGTGGCAGATCTTCCTTGCTTACAGCTCAGGTTGATTATGAGGTCTGAACTGGATGGGCTAATCCGGAGATGTAACTGTCCTTTGAAAATGAGTACAGGCAAATCTAGGGCCTCCACCTACTCAGGGCAGCTCTCTGGGGCTGACTGTTGAGCTTGTTCCGCTTTAGCAGGGCCAATCAGAACCATTGCTCCTTCCTTAATAGCCTAATAGCCTTCCTTTCCCAGACTCTCTTTCCTGTTATTAAAATACCTAATTTTTGGTGTTAGGCTTCTTATCTCCAAAAAGAGAGATTGTCAGACTAGGTGAGCTTTTCTTTTTTCCTACTTGACTGAACACTCCCTTCCCGGGATTTCCCCTAACTTATGCTGTCCCTGCTCTGTCCTGAAGCTGCTTGAACTCCCTTCTTTCCCACCAGTTCTAAGGTGTCCTATTGGCCTTCATGGAAGTCTCGTCCTAGGGTCCTTGCCTGCCCTTTGCCTGCCTTCATCTTTCCAGCCCAGTTGGTGGGTTGTTTTTACTGTAGCGGTCGTCCTACCCCCGGTGTGTCTGCTGGCCAGCTGCTAGCATGAGGGTTTCTTGTTTCCTTTGGCTCTGCTCCTGACAGCCGTGATCAGAAATATGAGCATTTCAGCTAGAAATGACCACTCCCTGTTCCTCTTGGAATAAACCTTGCAAGCCCCCTAACTTATCAGTAGACACCTCACTGGCCTCCTGAGGGAAATCACTGGCTGCACATTCTGGGTTGTGGAGGGCTTGATGTTTCTCCTTTCCCTGGCCCTGGACTCTCGCGTGGTGGCCTGCTAGCTCCTGTTGCTGCCTCTGCCACCCAAGCAGGCCTCTTGCAGCCTTACCAGAGTTTGCCTTCCCCTGACTGCTGTGAGTGAGTACACAGACAGTTCTGTGAGGCTTCTGAAGATTTTCACTGCTCATAACCACAGGGGACCAGAACAGGGAAGAAAATAAACAGGGAAGTTACACAGCCCCACTCTGATTCTCAAGCCCCACAGGTAGAGCTCTAGCTTACTTAAGAAGCCATGGCAGCGTGAGTGGGCACACACACACACACACACACACACACACACACACACACACATACACACACACACATCTCTATCACACACACATACATGCATGCACCCTCCATTTTGTTAGACCTGGTAAGAGGAAGACAGTGGCTCCAAAGTAAAGGTTAGTTGTGGTTTCAGATGAGGAGTCTGGGGCTTAGATTTGAAAATGTTTGAATCTTAGCCTTTAACCTCAATTTCCTTATCCATAACAACAGTTGGTTTTAAACAAGGTCCTTTAAGGATTACACCAGATGATGACTGGGCAGCATCAGTCCTTGTTCCTAGCTCAAGGGAAAGCATTTATTGAGTTGGTGCTGTGAGTGTGACTTTTGGTGAAGGAAGACGAGCATGCCTGTTGCATAATGGAAACGCCATCTGTTCTATGCAGCTCTTCTTTCTCCCCTGCTCTCCAGGAGGCCTCTTCCTGACTGACTATTCCACCTGCTCACCCCGCAAGCTGAGTCCTTTCCGCTCCTTTGCCAGCACTGAGCTCTTCCACTTCCATGTTCCGGAGGACACGTTTCTGGCTGTTTGGAACCTCATTATCTTCAAGGAGCAGGGGGGAACGTTTGGGGACCACTGTCCAGACCAAAGTGTGACTGTGTGAGTATCTGGGTTAATCTCTTAACCCTCATTTCTACCCCCAGACTACTTACCAAATGAAAACACTCCTTTCTATATATACACTAACCTCCTGACCCTGACCCCTGACTCCAGAGTGAGGGCTAGGGCTGTATCCTCGGGCCACTTTCCTGACTGCTACTGTATATGTGAGTACCTCCACCCCGTATGGCATGACCCCCTGAACCAGAACAACTTTGTTGTGTGTGTCATTGTGGGGGATCTAGTTAATTTGCTTGATGATAAGGGACAGTTCTCTCCTCTCCTCCTCCCCGGTTTTCCACTTCCCACCTCACTGCCTATTTCCCTTCTCTCCTAATTCTGATTCCCCAGGTATTTCCGGTCCGGGGCACCCCCTGTCATCAATCCCCTGCACACACACTTCCCAGGGGATACAGCTGTGCCTGGGGTTTTCTCACTGACGCTCAGCTGGACACTGCCCAATCGCACCTCAGGCATCTTTAACGTCAGCAGTCCCTTACCTGGGGACTGGTTCTTGGCAGCCCACCTTCCCCAGGCCCATGGCCACATCTCTGTCAAGGTGGGTTGATGCTGTCCAGAGCAGGGGTGGGTCACAGAGCTGCTTCTCCATCCCTGCTGAGTGTTCTCCAGAGGTTGCTTGGCATACCAGCTTTGTGCCAGAGTTGTCAGCAGTACAAACGAGGCTGGGATGGGACACAACTGAAGATTAGCTGGCCATAGGGGTGGATTCAGAAGCCACAGTCTGAAGGAGTCAATATGGAAGTGTCCTAAAAGACAAAGTGGGCCAGATAAGCTGAAGAGAAAGTTTAGAGTCTAGAACCAATTAGAGACTCTGCCATTGAAGAGAGTTCCCCTATGTATTGGAAGGCCCCTTGACTGTTGGGAGCCTCAAGAAACTAGTCAGATACTGTCCTAGCAACCCAAGGCTGGTCTTGCAGACTCTTGAAGGCTGTAGTCTAGTTATTAATCCATCTGGGAGAATACCATTCCCCCCTGTCATTTCAGACAGCTTTCAGTAATCCATGGAAGACCACAGGGACCACACTGAGGAAGAAAAGCCCTTTCCTGTTAAAAGGAGGCTTGATGCAGTGGGTGTCTATCTTGACTTTTGCCCCTCTTCCCACTTTCCGTATCAGAACTGATTTCGTAGAGCAGTTATAACTTAGAAGAGTAAATTCTAAAATCAGGAAGTTTCTCCATTTTGGTTTGGAAGGAAAGGAAGTATCACATATTTTTCTGGCATTCCTAGATATTTGGCAGGCCAGATTGTCTCCCTGAAGTGAAAGGGTTTCCTACTCTTTTGTGTTGGAGGAGAGTGTGTGATGAGATGGCCACTGTCAGCAGGGTTGGGGCGAGAATGAAGAACATGAGCAAAGTGGGAATGTGAAGAGCAGGACACTGAAGAATGAGACACTAACAGGGTTTAGGCCACTGAGAATTCAGAGGGGGCAGAAATTCCCAAACAGGTGAAGATTTGACTTGAGTATGTCTGTCCTTGCTGAGGTCCTTGAGGGAAGAGGCTGTGTGACTTTGCCAGACTCACCTCTCTTCCTGCTGTAGCCCAGCATACAGTAGTATTAACAACACTTTTGAATGAGCTGAGAATTGCACGAGGACAAGTGTACTACTGTCCCTGTATTGCCAGAGATGAGTGATGTGTGTTTACTAGGGTATCTCAGAGTCTCTGTGCTAAGGCTGTTTTCATTTGTTTGGTCTTGGGTTTGTTGTTGTTTTTGTTTGGTTGGTTTTTGTTGTTGTTTTTGAGAGTGATGTACAAGCGAACTTTCTATCAAGATAGAGAAGTAATCTGGATAATGAGAACATGTTAGGAGTTAGGCGTTCACCTGGAGGGGCTCTAGGTTTTGGGTAAGCCTTGATACTATCCAAACTATGGACTCTTTTACTAGGAGAAATGTCTTCAGGTCTTTACCCAAATACCAAAAAGCTTGTACCTTATCCTAGTTCTGATTCTTGAGTACATTAGTTAAGACTGGTAGGGTAAGTCCTTCTGAAATTCTGCTCTGGTTACCCAAAATCCTGTTCTGGGTAAGGAGGAGGAGTCTGTGGCCCAGGTCTAGGCTGGGATTATGAGCTGAGCCCTCACCGGAAGAGGTCAAGGCTACTCATGGCTGTCAGACAGGGATAATGGGGAACTAGAGATAGCAACCCAGGGAAAAGCTGACCTGAATCCAAATTGAAATTCAGAGTATGTAGCAAGGGAAGCTGGGCCAAGAGAGAAGGGGAATGGAAGCAGGCCAGATATGCCCACGTGCATCTAGGGATGACCAGTGTGGCCTAAGGGACTTTATACTTCAAGCTGTAACTCTAGGTAGGAGAACTCCTCAGGGCTGTGGTATGACCTGAGAGAGGACACAGTTATACCCTCGCCTATTAGTGGCAGCAGGTCTATCTGAGAGATTGATAAGGTAAGAATCTTACCTGTGGTCCCTCTAAGAATTTTACTTTCTGGCCTCTAAGAATTTTACTTTCTGGTATCTTATCTTGAGTTGTAAGGATTTTTAAGCTCTCTAAATTTAAAACTTTTCCAGATTTTACAGCCTTTGGGTGGATTTTCTAGGACATTTTTCCAGTATTTCATATTACCATGCTTCCTCCTTGTCCAGCATAGGAAGTTATATGGGATGGAGATCCTTGAATTGAGATGAAACAATCCCAGAGGCAAGAAGGCAGTCTTGTTTCTCAAGCTCTCCTCAACTTTGGGGATGAGTTCAAGTCTCCCTTTATCTTATAGCTCTTGGGTACATGTTGTGTACCAAACTTTGGATACCATGGACACAAGTATAAATAAAATAGATTATTGTGATATAGGAGCCCTAGAGGCATAGTGCATTGCATGTTGATCTGCTAACTGAAAGACTGGTGGTTCAAATACACCAGTTCTGTGGGAGAAAAAGGACTACTTTCTTTTCGTACACATTTACAGCCTTGGGAACCCATTCATCATAAACTGGAATTGACTTAATGACCGTGTGTTTGGAGTAAGATACAAGAGAGATGTCTGATTCACCTTGGTAGTGTAGTGGAGCTGGTATTGGGAGACTCCTAGCGAGTGAAGATAAGAAAAAGTGGTGAGAATAGCATCGTCCAAATCTTAGAAATGAAACTAGAGTGGTTCATTGCAGCTTAGGAACTGGAGCAGGTGAAGAACCTGGTGGGGCGAGCAGAGGTCAGGCCATGAAGGGATGGCTGTGCTGGGCTAGCAAGTTGGAACTTGTATCCTGACGTGAACTTCATCATAGGAGTGTTAGGGATCTCTGAGAGGTTGTAGAAAGAGAGGTGTCTTTATCTGGTCTAGTTCATTCTCCTACGCTCTAGCCCCACAATTCAGATGGCTCTTTTGTCTGTGCTATTTATTCATTGCTATATTCCCAGGTCCTAGTAGAGGATATAGCGCATAGTGGGGACTTGGCAAATTTTTGTTGCCTTTCTGTTAACCTTCTTCATCTCAGTGTCCAAAATGGATTTCCCTTTCTTTCCTTTCTATGTCCTTTCTTCCTATCGATGACCACTCTGTCTTATTCCTACGCCCTGCTTCTCCTTGCCTTTCCTGTCTGAGAGCATGTGTTCATCCCGAGGTGCTCAGCCAGCACTCTGCCTCGAGAGCTAGCTAGCCTTTTGGTTGTTGCTACCATCTGGCACCCAAATGGCTTATGAGAGGAAAGTTCTCCCAAAAGTCTGGGGCACAGGTTTTCCTTCAGTGCTTCGTCTTCCTAGGTCCAAGATTTGAGTGGAAGTGAAAACAAAGAGAGGTAAAATAATGAAAACAACTCTAAGAAAAGCAAAGAAGCAGATGATTGTAGAAAAAAGAAAGAATTCTGTTGAAGCCACCAACCAGGACCAAGCATGGTTCAATATTGTAACTGCAATGATTAAAATCTGCTAACATTGTTTTCATCTCTTCTTCTTCTAAATTATTTCATTTATATTTCAAATAGGTAATATAAGAACCTGGTACAACCTTCAAAAGGTACAAAAGACATACAGAGAAAAGTAAGTCTTTCTCTTCCCTTCTTCCCCCTTCAGTCCCTATTTCCCTTCCCAGATTGGACTAGTAACTAGCTGTTAAACTAGTTCTTATGGATTAGTATTTCCTTTCTGAGATACTATTTCCTCTTGTAACTCTGTGAAGTGTCTGGTTTTCCTCCTACCTCACCAGGTCTCTTCTGTCTTCCCTTTCCTTCTCAACTGGACCGCTATGTGTTGGAGTGCTCCAGTGCTTGGTCCTGGAATGACTGCTTTTTATTTCTGCATCCTCTTTCAAAGTGTCTCTAGTTAACATAATAGTTTAAATGCATTCACAGATTAATGCCTTTTAAGATTATTCAGCCAATTTTAATTTTCTTGAATCTCAGATGTCTTCAATTTGATTTTTAATAAAGATTGCAAACTTTGAACAAACAAAACCAAACCAAAGGTGAAGCAAACAAAAACAAAAAAACGAACATGCACACATACACCCACCTTTGCTTACCATCCCACTTACCCTAGTGCTGGACTTTATCTAGTGTTCTTCTTCTCAATAAATGGCACTGCCATCTACCAGTGTCTCAAGGCCTGGATTTAGATGTTATACTTGATTTCTCTTGTTTACTCTAATTTCACCATAACTTCTCAATAAGAAGTCCTTGCTGGCCTGCTTCTGGAGTATGCACTGAATGCCTCTGTTACTCTCTGTCTCTGCTCTTAGTACACCTTTCCTCAGCTTCCTCATGGACCACCGCAGGCACCTTCTAAATGAGCTCTTGGCTTTCTCTCTTGCTCCTTTCAGTCTGTCCAGCCCTTATTTACATCCATGTTGATTGATAATGACTAATGGTTTACAGGGACTGTTCAGGGTACTGGCTTGTTCCCATGGAAAAAGTTGGGTATCTTTACGCTTCTTCAGAACCCTGCTCAGGTCTCTAGAGAAACCCACCCCACTTGTACTAGGATGTCCTAGGACTTTGTCTGCCTTCCATCATTGGATTCTTCAGACTGTGTCCCACTCCCTGCCCTTCTTATTCTTGACTCTCCTGGTTTCTCAAGTTTTCTTGCTTTGGCTCTGCTATTTCTGTAACTTGTGATTCTGGTTTAACCTCTTGTTGAATACCTTGATTACTTAGTTCTCTCTTAGCTTTTCTCTTGGCAGCCCTTGAGGACCTGGCTTCTGGTCCACATAAAAAATGTGTGAAGAACATCATACCCTTGTAACTTCATTGGTATTCCCTGGCAGAACTATACCTCTGTGCCTTTGATCCCCAACTGGCAGAATTATACCCCTGTCCTTTTGTTGGTCCCCACTGGTATCCTTAAGAGGGGCTATTGGAGGTGCACCATGTATACTTTAGGGAAGGAGCACATTGAACTGTAGCGGTTGTGCTCACTGATGTGTCAGTTAGGCTAATAGAAAACACAAAGTTAGAATTTCTTTCCCCTATACTGTCTCACAGGGAAATTGACTGGGCATGATCCACCACTCGTGGAGCTTGTTAACCACAAGTTGTTAGAGAGGGGAATTCTTCCTTAGGAGAATGGTTTGATGAAAGAACTTTCCAGGCTATTTCTAGTCCTTGGCATTTGACATTAAAGATTACAGATATTAGCTTTATTTATTTTCTGGAAAGGCTTATATTACTTGGGACAGAGGCAGTGAGAATTCCAAATGGGAATATGCTCAGTCCTTGGCAGCCACCTTTCTCATGGTGACCAGGACATTACTCAGCTTTTCTTGCTTCCTTTGGTGCAGATGTATGTCCCCTTTCTTTTCTTGATGAGCTTAAGGGCCTGCTTGCCTTGACCTTGAGAAGCTCCATGGTGCATCACTCATAGAGCTCAAGTATACTCATTTCCCAGATCATGTCCTCCACAAACCTTGTCATTGTGATTGTGTAGTTGGTGAGGTGACTGTGGGGCAATTGTGCTTCAGCTTATTCAAGTTCTTGGTAACGTTGTGGCCCTTATTGAGGTCCCTGGTGATGGGCTAGTGCATGGCCTTGCATTCTGTCCATCATTGGCTGCTGTGGTGGAAGGACAGTGGTGTGGAACTTGGGAATGTTTGTTCTAGATATCTCATCTAGAGATCTCTGAGCTATTTGGTGATTTCAGGAATTTCCTACAGAGACAACTGTTCTTTAACTCAACAGATTTTTTTTAGCTCATGCCAGGTGGTGTGCTAGACATTGGGAATGCAATGATGTAAAAGACACAGAAGGATTGTAGGCAGAGGGCAAGAAGATCCTACCATCTATTAAAGCCTCCTTCCAATCAGGCAGAACTTTTGCAGGAAGCCAGTGCCTTGTTCTGTGGCGTGAGACTCAGTATGGAGTTGGAGCCTGGAAGAACTTCATAGAACAGGACTTGGAGGTGTGTCTAGGTCAGAATAATTTAGGTCTTGGTTAGAATAACTGTATAATTGAATACAAGAATAGTTTATTGGGTGAATATGTGGTCATTGCCAAAGTAGAAGCCCCATCGTATAATGAACTACTGGATTTGGAGGGCTTATATAGCTGCAAAGGGAGCTCTGGTGGCCTAGTCAGTAGGAAATTGTGTTGGCACCCAAAGGCAGATGATTTGAATGCATCACCTGTTCTGTGGGAAGAAGATGGGCAGTCTCACCCACTCAGGGTTAATTATGAATTGTTCCCACACAGTGGCTGTAAGTTGTTGTTTATATAGGTGCAAGGAGTCTTGGTGATGTGTATACATGTGGGACTTGTAATTGAAAGGTCAGCGGTTCAAATCCACCAGCCGCTGTATGGGTGAAAGATAAGCAGTCTCCTATAAAGATTTGCAGCCTTGGAAACTTGACAGCAGCAGGTTATAGCTGCAAATACTTCACAGGAGGAACCATAATAAATGGAATACTGTGCTTACTGAAAATTGATGGTGCTGGGAGGGTCAGAAGGTGGTTTCAGCTGAGCAGAGAGAAAAGGCCTAGGGATTTCTAGGTAGGGAAGAGAAGCTGGAGGATGCTGTGCCTTTATTCTAGGAACCGAAGAAAAAGCCCGAGGCAGAGGGAGCAGATAAATCTGTGAGTCCCTTGAGAGCAGAGCGGTAGGAGGGAAATCAAAGAAGTTTTGGCTCCATAAAGGTCAGAACTGCTCCCTTCTGGATTGATTACTTATTTATTTATTCAGCCAGAATTCCTTGGTAAGATTTGTACTTTTTGCTAGGCCTGTGTCTAGGGAAACAAAAATAAACAAGAATACATTCCTCTTCTCACCTTCCATGTGGCCTGAAGATTGCCTCAAAAGGTTATTAACTCAGGAGTGTTAAAGCTAGAGTGAGTAAGCATTTTGAGGGGAAGAGTGTGAGTAAAGGAATTTAGAGCTTCAGATTGCTGGCTATAGGGGAAGAGGTTTCAACTGGGCACATTTAAGGAGTTTCTAACCCAAAAGAAGAAATGATATTCTAAATTCTGGAGAGCCTGGTTACCAGGTGGTTTGAGAGTACTAGATGGTTAGAGAGTACTATGAAGAGGCTCTGCCCAGGAACACTCTGGAGAAGGAATTAGATTGAAGGAGGGTTGAACAGGACAAGAATGTCTGGAAGGCTCACTTGTGGTCTGTTGTTGAAGCTCAGAAGATCTAGGGAGTGCAGAGGTGAAAACTGGAAATGTTCAGTCAGCCTAGACCCAGAGTATAGAGAGACTTTGGTCAGAATCCTGAGAACACAACAGGGTATTCTCCTCTTAGCCCCAGAAGCTTCTGCTTGCTTTGGTTTAGTAGCACCCCTGCCTTCTCTCCCCTCCCACACCCCTGCTTTCCTCTCAGGGTCTCCAGGATGAATGTCAGTACCTCCTTCAGCCACAGCTGATTATCCGACGTTTGCTGGACGTTGCTGTGCTGGTTCCCGGTCGTCCCTCTGAGCAGACTCTCTCCCAACACAACCGTTCAGCTCTGTACAAGTAAGTCCAATACTCCCCTGAACGTGGCCTTTCAACCTCCTTATTCTCCTTGATTTCAAACAGGGAGGTGGCTGTTTGTTGACTCCCCAGTTCTCCTTCCCACTAACCTGGCCATTTAGACCTTTGAATAGATGGGCTGGATTTCAGCACAGAGAGAAAGGCTGGGAAAGGCCTCCTGTTATTTCTGTCAGGTAGTTCTGGTGGCTCAGTGATAAGGAATTGCGCTGATGACGCAGACGTGTATGGCTTGAATCTACCAGTTGCTCTGCAGGAGAAAATGGCAGTCTTCTCCCATGGGATTTACTGCCTCTGAAAACCCACTGGAGGGTCAACTATGGGTCGGTCCGACTCGGTCGTACACAGCAGCAGCAGCAGCAGCAACAACCACATTCTCTCTCTTGCCCATCCCTTCTATCTCCCCCGCTTCCTAATGTTCTCATTCTGGTGTCCCTCTTATACCTCTGTCCCTGTCCTCTTACCCCAACCTTCCCTCTGTCCAGGGTCTTTGTGCCCAGCTTTACTTACAGGGTTTCAGCGCAGCTGGTGTGCGTGGGGGGCCGTGGGGCGTCCGCCTGCCCCCTAACCCTGCGCCTACGTCCCAAGGCCCCACCCCTGCACAACTCAAGCTCTGTGACTTGTGGAGGTGCCTCATCATGCCAGCTGGAGCTGTCATTGCCCCCTTGGGGCCACTGGGTCTACGTGCGTGTGGAGACATCATCCCGAAGCCCTGGCAAAACTGTTCGTTTCCAGCTGTGTGTGCGGTTGCAAGGTCAGAACCCCTACACCTGTACCAGCAGTTTAGCCTGTGCAGACATTGGTGACTGGGAAGAGGCACGCTGGCTGTCTCTGTGCTAGACTTTTTACTATGTCCCTACCCACAACCATTCCTATTCCTCCCAGTCTCCTTCACACTCCCTGAAGGGCACCCTGCTCACTGCACTCAGAGCCCCAAAGTCATTGGAAGACCTTCACATAATTGTTTGCCCCTGACTTTGGGCATAAGGACCCTTGATAGTACCATGGTTAAGTGGTTGGCTTCTGGCTGAAAGATTGGAGGTTTGAACCCACCAGCTGCTCTATTTGAAAAAAAAAAGCCTTGCTTATCTGCTCCCATAAAGATTATGGCCTAGAAAACCCAAAGGGGCAGTTCCACTCTGTCGTGCAGGGTCACTGTGAGTTGGAATCAACTTGATGTCACACAGCAAGAAGGGACCTCATTACTATCCTTGATTTAATCTCTTTCAGTTCCCTGGGGTAGGCAGGGATAGCGAGGACCTCTGGGACACTGTCCTTGCCAAAGTCTGTGTAAGTCCACGAGAGGGCTCATCATATAGTTTCTGTCTCAACACAGTGTCTTCACTACTCTTGGGGTGGGGGAAAGGACCTTCATTCCCTCCAACATGACATTCCATTAGCTTGATCATTAGGAAATCCCTGGGCCCCATCACGTGACCCTGGATGACCCATATTCCCAAAGGACACATGATTCAAGTTCTCACTCCTTCCTACCCTTTGATCAGTCCTGTTTGGTTCAGACCTGGTTTGTGCTGGGGCTGCAGGGCTGTGAGGACTACAGGCCTCAGCTTTGGTTTCCTCTGCCTCACAGAGTGCCCACAGCCCAGCCTGTCCCGCGCCCTTGTCCCTGGAGCTGCTATGAACATGCCCCAGTCACTGGGCAACCAGCCACTGCCCCCAGAGCCTCCATCTCTTGGGGCCTCTGCAGAAGGGCCCGGGGCCACATCTCCACCTGAGCACTGCTGGCCAGTTCGTCCGACACTGCGAAATGAGCTGGATACCTTCTCTGTCCACTTCTACATCTTCTTTGGCCCCAGTGTGGCCCTTCCCCCGGAGCGCCCCGCTGTGTTTGCCTTGAGGCTGCTGCCAGTGCTGGACAGTGGAGGTGTCCTCAGTCTGGAGCTCCAGCTCAATGTGGTACTGTTTGTCAAGAGGTGGGAGGTCATTCTTTTGGGAGAACTTGAAAGGAAAGGTGTTAGGTGTGGGACCTTTATCCAGGGAGTTTGTTTAGGTTGTTTCTATCAAACCTAATGGTTAGGGATGTTATCAAAATTCAATTCTGGTCCCAAAACATGCTCTCAGTATTGACTTTGCCAAGAATGGGCGGGGCCAACAGGACAACTCAGAGCTTTTGGGACTTTGCCAACTCTGTAGACACATTTCAATTTATATCCATGGCAGTCGCCCACTTTCTTCTTGCATACTCTCTGTCATTAGAGCTCACCATTTCCTAAGGGCATGTAGCTCGTGTTTGGGTAGTGTGATTCCTTGTATTCTGTCAGACCTGCCTCTATGAATTTTTGTTCACTGATTTTTGTTTTGCCCTCTGGTGGCCTACTGGTAAGAAGCTGCACTTCAGTCCCAAAGGCATTTGGTTCAAATCCACCAGCTGCTCTATGGGAGAAGGATGGGCAGTCTTCTTCTGTGCAATTTACCTGCCTCTGAAAAACCATTGGACGGTCAGCTTTGAGTCGGTTCCCATGAACCTGGAAGTTAGACCCAGTAAACCCACACCTGTTCTATTTCAAGAACATCCCTATTTCAGATCATCCCTAACCTCCCAAAAGCTGAAGAGCGTCTTAGGCAGAGTTCAGGGTTCCTGGTTTTCAGATTCCTCCCCACTACTCAGTTTCTCCTCTGGCCGTATTTCTGATGGTCTTATGTCTCTAAAATAAGTGATACTATTGAGATGGATTGACATCGTGACTGCAGCAATGGACTTAAGTGTATCAGGGATGGCAAAGATAGCACAGGATAGGATGAAAATCAAGTCTGTTGTTCATAGGGTCACTGTGAGTTGTGATTGATGGCATCTACCAACAACAACATAACAACAGATGGTCTGACCAGGAAGCATGTGTAGGACTGTGCAGTCTAAGATCTCCTATCTCTGTTAGCTGCTAGGGGAGCACCTAGAACTTGTGGTGAACCAAGACCCCTTTGTCTTTTTTTTTCCTTTCCAAAAAAGCTATGTAAGTTTACTTTCTTAGTATAAAAATTTGTTGTTGTTGTTGTGTACCGTCGATTGGGAACTGATCCATAGCTGACTCTCCATCGGGTTTTCAGAGGCAGATAATTGCACCAGAGGAGATTGCCCGTCTTTCTACGGTGGAGCAGATGGTGGCCTTAACTGTGTATGTTCAGGACATGGAGTGCAGCTTCTTGCCACTAGGCCACCAGTGCTTTTATCATTTAAAAAGTAAATTACAAAATTTATTTTTTAAATTATAGAATCACATATAAAAACTTATTCCAGTGAGTGGAGCAAAACATCCTGATAACACAACTGCTTGGCTTTTTGTTGAGTCTTCGTGGTTCCTTCCCACACTAATGAATTGCTTTGTTTGTCTAGCTCTAATAATCAAGGAGTACGCACGTATTGATTCGTGTGAACTCTTGCCAGTTCTTGTATTTTTGCAGTAAAGTTTTGTACTTGAATGTAAGAACTTATGTCCATCCCTGTTGTTAGGTGCTGTCGAGTTGAGTATGACTCATAGCAACCCTATGAACAAAAGGTCTGAATCCTGCTGCATCCTGCACGATCCTCACACTTTCTGACAACAGGAGCCCATTGCAGCAGTCACTGTGTCAATCCACCTGGTTGAAGGTCCTCCTCTCCTTTGCCAACCCACTACTCTTCCCAGCATCATGTCCTTCTCCAAGGGATAGCCCTTCCTAGTGACATGTCCAAAGTATGTGAGGCGAAGCCTCCTCTTTCTTGCCTCCAAAGAGCACTTTGGCGGCACCCTCTCCAAGATATACCTGTTTGTTCTTTTGGTTGTCCACGGGATGTTCAGTGCTCTTCTCCAACACCATAGGTCAAAGGGCTTAATTCTTTTTCTGTCATCCTTATTTATTGTCCAGCTTTTAGATGTGTAGTAAGTAATCCAAAAAACCATGGCCTGAATCAAAATGTGCCTTAGTCCTCAAACTGAAGCTTTGCTTAATATTAGCTTAGGCCTTGCTTCTTTTGGAATATTCCTTCTCCTCTGCTTTGTGTAACACATACAGTTGAAAAATGAGCCATCTCTACTTCTTAGTTACTATTGTCAGCATTGAATAAGAATGTACTGTTCGGTAGTTATATCCCTGTTATACCAGTAGTTGTCTTCTTCAGCTTGACATTGATTCAGTAATTTATCAGCTTTTCCCCTTAGCCAGGGAATCTTCAAACTATTCTTTTCTAGCGCTAAGGGCAAAGATCATTTTCCTATCAGCAGACCCGAGGCCTGACTTAATATGACATTTTATGAGACGTGGCTCTGAATTATAGAGTGGTTTTTCTAGTCAAGGCAGAGATGATTCTTCAACCTGAATATATTCCCAATTGATTCTGTCCAGGCTGAAACTGCATTTTACCTTTGAATAATGACAGTGAGTTCTTTTTAGAATTTTTATTGTTACTGAGAAGATATACAACAAAACATACACCAATTCAACAGTTTTTACATGTATAATTTAGTCACACTGATTGCATCCTCTGAGAGGTGTAACCATTCTCATCTTCCTTTTCTGAGCTGTATATTATCATAATTCCAAGGATGGGACCTAACCTTTCCAATTGCTGTTGTCAGTTTGATCCCACATATATAACTCTTTTTTTTTTTAACATAGATAGCTCTTAAAAGAGGATAACATTCAAGGCAGACATATTTTTTTTTAGTCATTAAGGTAAACTTGTTTGGTTTTAAGAAAACTTCAGAGAATTTTTTTTGGTTTATAGCTTAAGTTTTACAGATGATCTAAGGGAAATCATTCAGAACATTATCTAGTCTAGTAACTCCAAGAAGTCTGGAGTCCAGGATGTTTTGAATTTTTGTATTTCCTCCTTTTTACTCAAGATTCTTCTATGGAATCTTTGATTAAGAAAATCAGTAATGTTAGCCAGGCACCATCTATTTCCTCTAGTCTCGTGGCTAAGGAGGCAATTCACGGAGGCAAGCAATCACACATTCTGTAGTCTCCTTTTATTCCTGACTCTCCTTTTTCCTCTGTTGCACCAGGCAACTAGAGACCAATTGTGTCTTGGATGGCTGCTTGCCAACTTCTAAGACCATAGGCACTACACAATAAACTAGGAAGTAGAAAGAAAGACTAAACATGTGTTGTTGTATACTGTTGAGTTGAAACTGACTCATAGTTGACCCTCCAGTGAGTTTTCAGAGGCTGTAAATGGCATGGGAGGAGAGTGCCCTTCTTTCTCCTTTGGAGCAGCTGGTAGATTTGAACCATGTGCCTTTAGGTTGGCAACACAGGTGTGTCAAAGGTTCTGATAACTTTTAACTTCACAGTGAATCATGATCAGCATCAACTGTCTGAGACTGATTCTTATAAGGGCAGCCATGCTCTGTTCTCTAACCATTTTACATTTTACCTGATTCGAGCCATCCCTTTTTACAACACTCTGCTTCACTGCTGGGTTTAACAATTCATTGCAGTGAGCACACAGAACTCACAGACAGTACTCAAGGATTATTGGACTAGTTAGGGAAGGAACAGGTTACAATTTAGGGTCAGAAACTATTCAGAATCCAGTTTCAATCAAGACAGCCTCTTCTCAGCTGTTCCCACAGGCAAGCCTCTCTCTCTGGTCTTTGTCGTTTTAGCCTGATTTCTGCTTGCTTGGGCAAATGTTACAAACCTATTTTAGCTCTGTTGAAAAATACCAGAGGCACCTCACTCGGCGAGGAACCCTCAGCCTGGAAGTGGTAACATCAGCTCTGTAGACCACATCAGCTCTGTAGACCACGTCAGCTCTGTAGATCTGGTGATTGGAGCTCTAATCTAAGTGCCTAGGGGTACCTGACTTCTCTTTCTTGCTTCATAGGTCAGGAAACCTACTTCATGTCTCCTGCTGGTTTCCCAGTTCTGCTGCCACTGTTTGTGTGCCATTACGTCTTGTCTCTCTCATCTCTTGCCCTCTCTTTGGCACTGTAGGTCTGTCTCTATGTCTCCTGGATTTAGGAGATTCTCAGCATAAGGATATTGCTTGGATCCAAAGGACATTCTTTGCTCCTACCTCTTCTTTGTTGATGGTAGTGAGACTTTCCATTCTGCCTCTGAGATGGCTCATTTTTGAAGCCTACTGAGATGACACAACCCTGCTTGCTGAAACTGAAGAGGACCTGAAGCGCCTGCTGCAGAGTGTCAAGGACTGCAGCCTACAATATGGATTGAGGCTCAATGTCAAGAAGACAAAGATTCTCACCACTGGACCAATTGGCAGCATCAGGATGGATGGTGAAGAGATTGAGATTGTACACAGCTTTAGTTTGCTTGGCTCCATAGTCAACAGTCTTGGCACCAGCAGCCAGGAAATTAAAAGGCGCATTGCCATGGGAAAGTCTGCTGTTAGGGACCTCTCCAAAGTGCTGAAGAGCAGTGGTGTCTCTCTGGAGAGTAAGGTGCGTCTGATACAGGCTATGGTCTTCGCAATCACTTGTTATGCATCAGAGAGTTGGACAATGACCAGGGAGGATAGAAGGAGAATTGATGCCTTTGAGCTGTGGTTCTGGAGAAGAGTATTGAGAATACCATGGACTGCTAGGAAAACAAACAGATTTGTCCTGCAAAGGGTTAAACCGGGTGGCTCCTTGGAGGCAAAGATTCTGAGGCTCCGTCTAACATACTTTGAACATGTTGTGAGGAGGGACCGGTCCCTGGAGAGGGATATCATGCTTGGGAGGGTGGAGGGACAGCGCAGGAGAGGAAGGCCCTCTATGAGGTGGATTGATTCAGTGACTGGGATAATTGGGATGAGAGTGTCAGAGACAGTGCGATTGGCACAGGACAGAGCAGAGTTTAGGGCTGTTGTACATAGGGTCGCTATGAGTTGCAAGCGACTCGACGGCACATAACAACAACAACAACAACTGAGATGACAAAACTGACAGTTTCCCTCACTAGGGTTCCATAAACCTTATTTGCATGGTGCCGTCCTACTAGGACCTATTTAAGTTATTACCTGTTTATCTAGCCCTTTGGTGTGCCACAGGTACCTTGGTTGCACAGTCTCATACATTCATTTTGTGGGAGTTAGAAGACTGTAACTAGAAAAGACTTTTAACTAGATGTGCCATGAACCCATGACCCTGAATCTCCAAACCCTCATGGGCTTTGGTTGTCCATAAGTAGACAGTAAAGTTTTGATTACACCTTGACATTGTAGATCATGAATCAGAGTTCAGCCTTACACCCATACTTATTCTCAAGTATCCTGAGAAAAAAGGCTAATCCCCTTGTAGCACGTACTCTTCCTTCAGCTTCTTTCTTCTTGAACATTCATTCTAAAGAACATCATTACGTTTCACGCATCTAACGTGTTGTGACTCTTGCTCTAGCTCTTAGATTGCCTAGTATATTTATTCTGAAAGGTTTACTGGTACGTCTGCTTAGATAGGTAGAAAGGCAGTCTTTCCCTCCAAATAGTCTGAATTCTTCCCTTGGATATTTGGATTAGAGAACTATATACCAATTGTCACTGGCCCCACGTTCCCCACTCCTCCACTCCCCATCTTTGGTCATCTTCTAGAATGGAATGACCTTACTGAATAATGCTCTTCCATATTGCCTTGGGCATGCTTTGAGGGAATTTATGAGCAAGTTATTTGAAGCATACCGTGCCAATGAGGACAGGATGCAGACATTGTGATGCTTTTGTGGGGACTACTTATATACTGGTGTATTTAATAAGCAGCCTGAAATCTTTCTTGAATGAGATGAGTCTGTGACCCTTGTCAACAGCCCCTTATGTGCACTCCTTTGCCTATCTGGTAATTCCTCAGGCATTCTGTTACCAGTGTTTAGTGCCCAAGGATCATTTTACCTGAGTGCACTGCTTTACATGCTCCTGCCTTTTAGGTCCAGGTGAGGATGACTGCAAACTTTGTAGCTCCTTGATTGACAACTAGTTTCTACATTCGCAACAGCCTCTCCCTTCTCCCTATTTCTACTGCCAACAAACTGGCTAGGATTAAATAACTTTGTCTCTGCCTGGACCAAATTTAAAAATCCTACCCAAAAGAAGGATTCAGAATTTCCTATCGGTCTTGAAAGATTTCTGTTGTTGGACACCTGAACTTTTTTCAGAGTTTTTCTCCCTGAGAAAGGGCAGAGAGGCTTTGATGTGAAGAGTACGTGGTAGAATGGGATGTCTAGGGAAGGCCTGAAGGGTCTTCTGGGGGAAGGGTTAGGAGCCTGGGGGTGGTGGTGGTGGTGGCCAGGTCAGGGCAGTGTTGGGTATGAGGATAACAGTCATAGGGCCAGGGTGATGTGATGACCTCCTCTCTATACTTGCCCTCCTCAGAGCTCCCTACACAAGGAAAATGTGACGGTGTTTGGATGCCTGACTCATGAGGTGCCCTTGAGCCTGGGAGATGCAGCATTGACCTGTTCCAAAGGTGGGGGTGAAGAATAGGAGAAGGGCAGGAGCTGGAAGTCCTGAGGAGGGGATGTGGGAGATGGTGTGGAGGCATATTGGCCAGAGTCAGTGGGGAGATTTCTAGGAATAGAACCCACTCACTGGCAGTGGATTTGGTTTGGTTTTGGTAGCTGAAGGTTTTTTGTGTCTTGGCACACAGCACTGACCCATCCTTTTCCACACTGACCCCTCTGCTTTGTCTTCTTTTCCTAGATGCCCTGGCAGGCTTCCTACTCTCTGTCAGTGCCACTTCCAGGGTGGCCAGGCTGCGAATCCCTTTCCCCCAGACAGGAACCTGGTTTCTGACTCTGCGCTCCCTGTGTGGGGAGGGGTCTCGGTGAGCAGCTGGGGGTGGGTGGGAAGGGCCTAGAAGAGAGCTATCCTGGTCCCTAAGTAACATCAAGTGTGTGTATAGGTTTATACGATGTCGGAATGCAACAGCTGAGGTGCGGCTGAGGACCTATCTGTCCCCATGTGTGGATGACTGTGGCCCCTATGGGCAGTGCAAGCTGCTGCGCACACACAACTACCTGTACGCGGCCTGTGAGTGCAAGGCTGGTAAGTGAGCTGGCGAGGGAATTGGCCTCAGAAGGGCTCCCAGGAAGGGGCAGTGTCTGGGTCAGGGTGAAAGGCATTGGCCCAAGTTGGGGATGACTGTGATGGGTATGAAGTCAGTGAGAGGGTGGAGTCCAGTGAGACCAGAGATCGCCTGCACTGGTCTGAGACTTGGCAAGAGAGACTGCAAGCAGAAGTGTCTGCTGTACCCATGGCCTATCTTGTATTCCCTTCCATCTTGTAACCTACTCACCTACAGGGTGGCGGGGCTGGGGCTGCACTGACAGCGCAGATGCGCTCACCTATGGATTCCAGCTGCTGTCCACACTACTGCTCTGTCTGAGCAACCTCATGTTTTTGCCACCTGTGGTCCTGGCCATTCGGAGTCGATACGTACTTGAAGCTGCTGTGTACACTTTCACGATGTTCTTCTCGACAGTAAGTGCTGGCATATATGTTTTATTGTGTTCTTATTCATGATAGTGAATGAAGAGCGACATTTTAACCATGCTCTCCAGGAGTCTGTCCACTTGCTGTACAGAGGTAACTAGTGGTTGCTGTGAAGCTGAACACTGTGACACTGATGTGTCAAATGCAATTATGATTACCCATGGTGGACAGTGTTTGGTGGCACTCCCTGATTAAAACAAGCTTGGAAGTAGGAGTGGCATCCAATTCCGCAATAGCTTGCCTCCAGAAACCCTATGAACCTGGAAAAAGGATGAAAGTTATACATGTGTTGAGGTATTTCATTCATAGGGTCGCTATGAATCCACCTACGACTTGACAGCACTTAACAACAACTACTCCAGGAGTTTAAATACTCCTAAATGGTGACAGGAGAAGAATTGATGCCTTTGAGTTGTGGTGTTGGAGAAGAATGCAGAATAGCTTATGGACCACCAACGAACAAACAGCTGTGAGAATGTGCAGCCAGAGTGTTCATTAGAGGCAAATACGGTGAAGCATTGTCTCATAAATTTTGGACATGTTGCTAGGAAAGGCTATTCTTTGGAAAGAGACATCATGCTTAGAAAGATGGAGAGTGAGTGAAGGAATGGAAGACCCTCAGGGAGGTGGATTGATAGTGTCTGTGGCAATGGACTCTAATGTGTCGAGGATTATAAGGGTGGCACAGGGTTGAGTTTAGATCTATTGTTCATAAAGTCACTCTGAATCGACTTGACAGCACTTAATGACAACAAAACCAATAGTGTGAAGGGGGCTTTGGTGGCCGAGTGGTAAGAAGCTGTGCTGCAATCTCAAAGGCACGTGGCTCTAATCCACCAGCTGCTCTGGGTGGAGAAAGATGGGCAGTCACTTCCTGTGCAATTTACTGCCTTTGGAAACCCTCTGGAGGTTGAGCCATGAGTTGGTTCCAACATGACAACAAACAGTGTGAGAATATGTCTTCTTTTTACTGTGTTTTCTATGGCAGAGCTTCCCAACCTTTTCATATGATGTCATGAACAGGGCATTTTCCAGTAATTTTTGTAAGGCACATTGGGCTGCTTGCGACTTAATATGCTTTGGGACTCCAGCTATGCCAAATTCTCTCTGTCCACCCCAAAGCTTAAGGGACATTTACCTCAAAACACTAGCTGAGAAGGTCTGTGTTTATGGGATAGGACTGTGCCTACCCATTCACTGTGTTTTCTGTGTGGAGTGAAGGAATTGACACTTTAACCTACATCTTGACATGAAGAGTATTCATTGTCATCAGGTTCTTTCATGATGGAAGTTCTTTCATATTGTGTTTATGTGATTACATTGAACTGGGGATTTCTATGTCTTTAACATGTTGCTTCTTTGGATATGAAGGCTATCTCCCCATCCAGTCATGATAGGCTCCCAAATTATCATGGAAACGTTTGGAAAACGGGAAATTTATAATTTGGTAATTTATAAAATAGTCTGTGTTATGCAGATGACACAACCCTGTTTGCTGAAACTGAGGAGGACCTAAAGCACTTGTTGTGGAAGGTCAGGGACTGCAGTCTTCAGTATGGATTGAGACTCAATATCAAGAAAACAAAGATTCTCACCACAGGGCCAATTGGCAGCATCATAATGGATGGTGAAGAGATTGAAATTGTTCACAGTTTTGTTTTGCTTCGATCCACAGTCAACACTCTTGGCACCAGCAGCCAGGAAATTAAAAGATGTGTTTGGATGGGAAAGTCTGTGGTTAGGGACTCTCTAAAGTTCTGAAGTACAAAGATGTCATTCTGGAGACTAAGGTGTGCCTGATACATGCCATGGGCTTTGCAATCACTTGCCATGCATCAGAGAGCTGGACAATGACTAGGGATGATAAAAGGAGAATTGATGCCTTTGAGCTGTAGTGTTGGAGAAGAGTATTGAATATACCATAGACTGCTAAGAAAACAAACAGATTGGTCCTGGAGAGGGTGAAGCCTGGCAGCTCCTTGGAGGCAAGGATTTTGAAGCTTCATCTAACATACTTTGGATATGTTGTGATGAGGGACCAGTCCTTGGAGAAGGATGTCATGCTTGGGAGGGTGGAGGGACAGCGCAGGAGAGGAAGACCCTCGATGAGATGGATTGATTCAGTCACTGGGGTAATGGGGGCAGGTGTGTCGGAGATGGTGAGATTGGCACAGGACAGGGCAGAGTTTAGGGCTGTTGTACATAGGGTCACTATGAGTCTCAGGTGACTCAATGGCACATAACAACAACAACAACAACAACAACAACAACAACAACAACTAGTCTGCATCTTAGAATCCTAAGAAACTTTATGAATTCAGGCATCACGGGACGTAGTTGTTGCTAGGTGTCATGGAGTTGAAAGCTGTCTTATGTATAACAAAAGGAATCCTGTGCCATCTTTGTGGTTGTGTGATTTTTAAAAAAAAAATCCCTGCTCAAAGTGATATATTTTTTTAAAGAACATTTGTACTTTTTTTAATGTTTGCTTACAAAGTTCTTGTATGTTGTTTTTCACATTGATTCTTCCCATTTTCTTTTCTCAAAGGGATATATATTTTTTGTTAATGTATATTCAAACTCTTCCATTGCCCTTATAGACTCCTTATAATCACTTCTTACTGTTTCTAATTCTTCCCTCTCCTCCATAAGCAGAAAAATTTCTATTATAAGCTATTATAAGGAAAAGTCAAGGAATGGATCTGCTAAGGTGACTTTAACCTTAATTTAGACTTGGTTAGTTTTTTCCTTGAGATGCCACATTCAGGTGCCCTTCATTTTATCTCTGTGCTCAGGGCATCATGTGATCTCACTACCGGCTTTGAGCTCTGTAAAAAAGCTTACAAGAACGCATGCTTTCTTCATGGTTGGAAACAAAGATAATCCAAAACCCAATGCATGCCTCCCTAGTGTCTAGCATGAATAACTCATTTTTATATAAAAATTAAACCAATTCTATTTTTCACCTGGATGAAAGCAAGGACAAATGCCCGACATGCGGAGTTCTAGGGCCCTTTGACAGATGAGGGAGAGTCAGCTATTACTCTTCTGTGTGCAAATCCCTAGGCTCTTTAAGCTAGGTGAAAGCTCATGTCTCAGTGCTGTGTAACTGGCCCCTATTTAGGTCTCTTCCAACAATGCCTCATTCTATTTTTACATTGGACATGTTCCTCTTTTTTATTGCCAGGTGCACTTTATACTGTTGCTCATCAAATTCTCTAGCAACAGCTGTTCCACCAGCCCACTCTTGGCTACATGCAGACCTAATGATTCACAATTAGTAAGAATACATAAGTAGAGCACAGTATGTCAGGAGCCTGGAGAATGTAGGGAGAGAACATTCACTCTCTTGGACTTTTTGGCACAAATATCCTGGGCTTTGGCTCCATGGTGTTCAGCTCTGGATCATGCCTCATTATCTGGATACAATGACATGAATATGAGAAACAAAATATAAAAGAAAACCAAGAAGGAGCAGACTTTTTCCCTATTAGGAACATGGTGAGGCTACAGTACAGTGCCTGGCAATGCATAAAGAATTCCCACTTTATTATTATCATCCCTTTTTTGCAGATGAAGAAAGGTTAAACATTTTGCTTCAAATAAAAGGTTAGATGTGGAGCCAAGATCTTTCACTCAGCCTGACTCTCCTCCATCCCTCTACATAATAACTAAGCTTTACTGTTCTTCTGACACCAGGAGAGCAAGTGTTCACTGTTAACTCTCTAACCTGACTTCATTTTCTCACAAATCTTTGATTATGTACAGTGACTGGGGTAATTGGGATGGGTGTGTCGGAGGTAGTGAGATTGGCACAGGATAGAGCAGGGTTTAGGGCTGTTGTACATGGGGTCGCTATGAGTCGCAAGCAACTCGATGGCACATAACAACAACAACAACAACTTATGGCCTCATGTTAGTTGTTTTGTTGTTAGGTGCCACTAAGTTGAGTATGACTCATAGTGACCCTATGAACAACAGATTTGAACCCTGTTCTGTGCCATCCTCACAATCTCTGACACCGTTGAGCCCATTGCTGCAGCCACTGTGTCAATCCACTTGGACAAGGGTCTTCCTCTCTTTCTCCATTCTTCCACCTTCCTCTGCATGATGTTCCTCTCCAATGAGTAGCCTCTCCTAGCAAGATGCCCAGAGTATGTGAGGTGAAATTTAATCATCTTTGTTCCAAGGAGCACTCTGCACCTAAGTTTAGTAGTTCTTCCCAAATCCTTAAAAAAATCGTTCAAAATATCAGAAAATATAGCCAGATAAAGTATAATAAATACCAAGAAACTATGCCAATCATTGTCATTATACAGCTCTAACCCATAACATTTAAGCCACACAGAGAGAGATACAGATAGAGCTGCTATCTTGAGACCATACAGCCTTCCTTGCTGGCTGCTGGCAACTGGCTGCAAGCTTGCCTTCTCATTCCTACTTCCCCATATTCTGCCCCCCCCCCCAATAATCTTCACCAACACCATGGTTCAAAGGCATCAATTCTTCTTTGGTCAGTCTTGTTCACTATCCAATTTTCATATGTATAGAAAGCAAATGAAAATACCATGGCTTGGACTAGGCACACCTTAGTCTTTAAACTGATACCCTTGCTCTTTAGCATTTTTTAATTGAAATTTTAATGAAAGTTTACAGAGACTTTGGATTTCCATTAATACATTGTTGCATGGTTTTCTCCCTGCTCTCCTCTAGTTCACTTTCCGCTTGGGAAAAAAAAATTCTTTCATTGTTATGCAATCCCTCTCGGAGCCCATTTACTATGCAGCTCTTATTCTGGACTCTTGTCATGACAAAAATACCTAATCATATATTCCTTTTAAACAGTTCTCTCCCTCATCTGTTTCAATGCAGTATACATTATTTATCCCCTCTTTAGGTTCCTCCCAACCCCAATGTCAGTTCCGTTTTACAACAGTGGTACTATGCAGTATTTGTCCTTTTGTGACGGAGATATTTATCTCAGCATAATGTCCTCCAGGGTCACCCATTTTGTATAATATTTCATGAGTTCCTTGTTTTTCAATGTAGTATAGTATTCCATTGTGTGAATATACCAGAGCTTCTCTATCCATTTGTTTGTTGATGGGCACTTGAGTTGTTTCCAGCTCTTTGCTATTGTGAACAAAGCCATGATAAACATGGGTGTGCATTGAAAGGTTCTTTGACAGTCGATTTGCCCAAGAAAGTATGTGGTTACAAATGCTTATACTCTTGCCCCCCCTTTCTTACATATTCCTGGTTCTACAGGCTCATTTCTCATATTATCTGTTTTATCATTGCTGGAGAGTCTTTCTTTTTTTTTGTATTTTTTATTTATTTTTTTAATTGTATTACTTATGCATGTACCGTCAAATCAGATCTGACTGGTACAGGAGGAGATTGCCCCCTCCTTCTCCAGCAGAGCATCTGGTGGATTTGAACCACGTACCTCTGGGATTGCAGTGCAGTGTCTTGCCACTAGGCCACCAGAGCTCCCTTGGAGAGTCTTTCTTTAAAGCATCCTTTTTGCAGAGGAATCCTCTTTTCATCCACACTTGACATATCCTAAAGACCCTTCTTTGTTCCCTTCACTCATTCGGGTTTTTTTTTCTTCTCTTCTTGCTTTTGTTTTTTATTCTTTGCTCACAGAGATGTTATTTTTCATAGACTGATATTATTTGTAATACATTATCTCTCTGTTCTTCTGGGTATTGGTGGACTGCAACTCCATGGGACCAGTATTCTTGTCCTGCTGTTGTCACCCATGACCTCATCTTCCCTTGCTCTCTTTTCCTCATCATTGTGGTCCATTTCCTGCCTCTTTCTTTTCAATTGCTCTTAACTCTTAATCCATATTTTAAAAATTAAATGAAAAGTACAGTAAGTTAAAAATGAGTCTTATTTCCACGTTTACATTCTGTTGTGCCTGAGTATCCCATCTTGGAGCATTAGTTAAACCCCTAATCTTTAAATTTTTCTCTTACCCAGATCCCACCACGATGCGTAAGCCAATATGCTTATTCTTACTTTGGACTGGCTTGTTCTCAGAGATCCTAATCAGTATCCTGTCTTTGGTTGGCTCAGAAGATACTGTGGACACAAAAAAGTCCTTGGGAGAGGAAATAGATGTTCTGTCATCTTTGCCCCAAAGATATTCTTAAAACCATATATGCTTTTAGTGTCTGTCCTTAGAATGTCAGTAGATACTGAAATTACATAAATTCTGCATAGAAGTGCAGATGTAACATTAAATATTCTAATATAAAGAGAACTCAGGTAATCCTTCCATAAACTTTTTTTTAAAATTTTTTAAAAAATTTTATTATTTTTGTGTGCATGTACCATCAAATCAGATTTGACTGGTACAGGAGGAGATTGTCCCTCCTTCCCCGGCAGAGCATCTGGTGGATTCGAACCGTTTGCCTCTGGGATTGCTTCCATAAACTTTTTACAAATTAGAGAATGCAAGCTGCCCGAGATCATGAAAGCATTAGGCAGAGAAACAAAGTTGAAACTATAAGCCAAGGGAAGTTGATGGCCAACTTTAGATCTTTAATCAGGAAGTCCTGTATAGATTGAAAGGGAGGAAGATGAGCAGCCTTCTTTCAGATTGTTTATAGCCTTGGAAACAAGGCTTAACAAGGTTAGCTGTCAGTCAGTTGCAACTTGTGGGTGGGCAGTGAGTTGAGCTGAGGTGTTGAGTAGAGTTTGCTCCAGTTCCACTTGCATCCCCTGTACCTCCTTTGAATCATCTCATTAGTCTACCATTAGCCCTGTAATCTACAGACAGGATAGGTGGAAACTATCCCTTCCCAATATTCTCACCTATTGTTTTAGAATTTTTTTCTTACTCTACCTCTAGCATCTGGGAAAGGCCAGTTTATGAGTCTTGAGGGTGATGTCCAACTTAGAATTTGACCTGTTTTGGGACAGATGTGCATGCAGGGAAGGAATGAAGTCTTGGCCAAATGTTGGGCCTCAGAGCTTGGGCCAGGGATGAGGCTTTATAAGTAGCTTCACAGTGAGGACATGGAGATAGGAGAGATTGATTTCAGCTTGAGAGATCTGCACTCATAGGTTTGCTTTTTCCCCATAACATATTCCAGTAGTAAAAGATTAGGATGACGGTTAGAACTATCAGACATATAACCCTTTACAAAGCAAACCAGGCCTCTTTAGCACGTCCTTCTCAGGAGTGGGAATGTTGAGCATTTCCCAATTCTGTTGGGCCAGTGACTTCCAGCTTCCATTCTCTTCTAGCAGCACATCACTCCTGGGGCCTCTTTCTCCCGATTCAGTAGACCTTTGCCTCAAGTCCTCTCATGCCTGTTATTTCTTCTTCTAGTTCTATCATGCCTGTGACCAGCCAGGCATTGTGGTTTTCTGCATAATGGATTATGATGTGCTGCAGTTTTGTGATTTCCTCGGTTCCCTAATGTCCGTCTGGGTCACTGTCATTGCCATGGCTCGTTTACAGCCTGTGGTGAAGCAGGTCAGTACAGTGTGGGCCCGAAGGGTGGGGTGGGCAGCCATTGCCAACACGTATGTGATGTGAAAGCCATTTCCAACCTTTCCCAGGGAGCATTGACAACAGTCCCTCACCATCCTGGCCCATTCCCTGGAGTGCTATTGCCAACTCTGGCCCCAGCCCCTGGAGTTCTTTTTCCTTAGGTTCTCTATTTGCTGGGTGCTATGCTGCTCTCCATGGCTCTACAGCTTGACCGGCATGGACTCTGGAACCTGCTTGGACCCAGTCTCTTTGCCTTGGGGATCTTGGCCACAACCTGGGTAAGGCTCAGGATGACTGGGTGGTTCCAACAGAATATGGGTAAAGGTCCTGGGTGAGTCCCCACTTTAATATGGGTTTGCTCCCTGCCCACATCACTGTGCCCCTAACGCGGTCTACTCCAGTTATGGGAGATGCTTTCAGGGGAAAATGCTAAGAATGACTAACTCTGGTTTCAATAATAAAGCTCCACATCTCTGCCTCCCCCAGACAGTGCGCAGTGTCCGCCGACGGCACTGCTACCCACCCACGTGGCGCCGCTGGCTCTTCTATCTGTGCCCAGGAAGCCTCATTGCAGGCAGTGCTGTCCTTCTCTATGCTTTTGTGGAAACCCAGGACAACTACTTCTACATTCATAGCATTTGGCATATGCTCATCGCTGGCAGCGTGGGCTTCTTGCTGCCTCCTCGTGCCAAGACTGACCACCGGGTCCCAGCAGGAGCCCGGGCCCGGGGCTGTGGTTACCAGTTATGCATTAATGAGCAAGAGGAGCTGGGGCTTGTGGGCCCTGGAGGGGCCGCTGTCAGCAGCATCTGTGTCAGCTGAGAGGGGCTTTGGGCCTAGCCCTTTGGGAACATGGACCCTTCCCAGGGGCAAAGAGCCCTTTCCCAGGGATGAGAGACAGGTTGAACTTCTGGAGGACATGGAGTCTTTCTTAGGAATGTAGAGTTCTTCCAGGAACCTAGAGCCTGGCCCAGGGACATGGAGCACTTGGTGAGGACAGAGACTCATCCAGCATCCATGGGATCCTTCTTCAGGACTGGAGCCTTTATAGGGACACAGTGCCCCTCCGAACCAGGGAACCCCTCCTATGGGTGTGGAGGCCTCCAAAAGACATGGATTCCTTCCCAGGAAGACAACGCTCTCTCAGGAACATGATGCCTTTCCTGAAGAAATGGAGTCCATCTTGGAGAAACTGAATTTCCAGATCTTTCCAGTAGCTCAGCATCTCTGGCCTCAGACTTCTTTTCCAGAATCAGCTGTGCAGTGTGAGGCAGTGGGGCGCATAGGACAGTTGGGACAAGGGTCTGGGTTGGGCTGGGACTGGTTGAGGAGTTGATGGAGATGGGGTCTGGTGTGTCTCCAATGTGTTATGTGATGTTTGTTTGCTACCTGTTTTACTGGGGCTAGGGAAGAGAAGAGGAACCATGAAGAATCAGAAGAAGTGTTGGAAGCCCCAGCCCAAATGAGCTGTTCTTCAAGGCTTGTTAACCTCAGGAAGGACACACCTCACCTCTCTCAGTGGTCTCTGCATCCACTTCCAAAAAACCCCTCACTCATTGCAGTCTAGTCAGAACTGACTCAAAGCTGATGCTCCAAGTGGGTTTTTGAAGGCAGTAAATCACATGAGAGAAGACTGCAGATCTTTTCTCTCAGAGCCACTGGTGGATTAGAACTCTGAGAGGCCCTGCCTTTGGGTTCTCAGCACAGCCACAGCTCCTTACAGACTACACTACTACAGTTTCCTCACTTCCAAATACCCTCTAATATTTGCTGTTTAGAAGATTTGGACCTGACTGAAGGGAGGACAGGCAGCATTAGCCAGGAGTAGGTTGTGTGTGTGTGTGTGTTTCTTGGGGAGTGACCAAGATGATTTATATAAGTGAGGCAGACCTCCCTCATGGAACTCCCCTCAGACAGGAATGTGAGTCAAGGTATCTGCTGGAGCAGGTGTGATTCTCAGACTTGTAGGAAACATTACAAGAACGTAAATTTCTACTTTAGTCCCCTAGTTTGTTTCAGTCTTAGAAACACTCTTCTCAATTTTGGATTTCATTTCTCTTTAAAAGGTCACAGCATAATTCTGGGGACCTTACATAATGGCCCAAGGAGGATGCAGAGAGAGTATTTTCTTGTCTCAGTATCTGAAGTGCAACCATCTCTTGAGATTTCCATCATACCACCTTGTCTCCCACAAGCCAGTGGCTGAGGCAAGCCATCCCACAGAAGTCTTCTTCCCATTAACATACCCTTTTCAAATTCAAGCCTCTCTACTGCTGTTATGTCACATGGAGAGATTTCTGAGGATGTCTAAAGACTTGGCTACCCAAAATCACCTTTAAGCCATTTTTATTTTAGAGATCTTACTGCATCCTTAGGTTTTAGTTGACTAGGAATGGCTGGGATACTCCAGTTCTTAAATTTAGTAAATCTATGCAGAAGCTTGCCACCCTCTTAGAACTTCGTATGGGAAGTGCAGTCCAGGGCCCCTCTCATATTGTACCTCTTTGCCAATGCTTTCTTTACTTCATCTCTTCTCTCTCCCCTCCCCCAGCTCAGGGAATCTTTTATTAATATGGAGGTGAGGAAGCCTTACTTTTCCATGTTTTCTCTCAAGTATTTTGTCTATGCCTTTTGGGTTCCCTTCTGGACCTGGATTATGGAAGCCGAAAGCCAGGAAAAGATTCCTTTGTTCTCTGCCTTATGCAATCATGTTACTTTTTTTGGGAATTGAGCAGAGAATGATGGGGCCAATGAATGTCAAGTAGAACCAAGGGATGTGTGGGATTTGTGTTTGTTTATGTATCAGAAAAATCTGTTCAGGAAAAACCCTCAAACTATTCCTACATAGGGAACTCTGATGGCCTAGTGCTAAGAAGTTGTGCCACCAACCCTAAGGCATATTTTGTTTTGAATCTACTAGCTGCTCTGCAAGAGAAAGATAGGCGGTCTCCTCCCATGCAATTTCCAGCTTCTGGAAACCCACTAGAAGGTCAGTTAGGAGTTAGTCCTGACTCTGTGACACACAACAACATCCCTATATAAGAAATATCGTACTATACTAAAGGTACTCTCTAGTGGCAAGAAGCTGTGCTACAGTCCTGAAGGCATGCAGCTCAAGGTCACCAGCTGCTCCGTGGGAGAAGGATCTCCTCCCCTGCGATTAACTGCCTCTGAAAACCCACCAGAGGGTCAGCTATGCGTCAGTTCCGACTCTGATACACAACACCACCACCATACCATGCTAAGATGTACAGAGCTAGGTTACACATCACACTGCCTCAGCTAACTGGGATTCAGAATAGTCAGTAGAATACAGAAAGCACTGTGGAAAGAGATGGAGTTGGGGCAGATAAAACCCAGGAAGGGAATTAGAAGGGGCTTCCTGGAAGAGAGGGTTTGAGTGGGAATAAAATGAGTTCACCTCACGTCAAGCTGTCGGGGGAGTGTTTTTCTGCTCACCATGTCTATCTATACTGCATCTATCCCTTGAGAATCCTGTAAATCCGTTTGGTCCCTAGTGACTAAAGCACTTAGAAAATGGAACACGTTTCACCTGGCACATGTTAAGTGTTCAACATACATATTTGGCCATGGAGGGGTGGGAAGAGGGAAATGCATAGAGGTAGGAAAAACTGATTCCCCCCCCCTTTTCTTCGGGGAACTGTGAGTGGTTTGATGTGCTTGGGCTTGGAGAGAGAGGAAGAGAGTGTGTATGTATGATGTGGTAGGGGAGGTAAGCATAATGGTGAGGGTAGACAAAGGATGTATCTGTTTTTAAACTGTGGGAAATAAGATTTAAGCTGGAGAGTACCCTATGCAACAGGTAGAATTTGGAGGCAGTTTGGAAGGCAGCAATGACATAATTAGTGTTGTATTTGAGGGATAGTGAAAGCCTGTTAAAGCTGTGGCAGTACACACCATAGAGCCTGCTTAAGGGCTTTTAGAAGGTGAATGCTATTGGATGTGTGGGGTGATGGAAGTCTATGATGGCCACCATGTCTCCGCTCAGTGTCTTGGGACTTTTGGTGCTTTTCCCTGAGATGGCAGCCAAATGTTCCGAGTGGAATATGTATGAGGTAAGTTTTAGACATTTTGAGATAAAAGTCTCTAAGGGATTCCTCTGGGGAGGAGACTGTAACTGTGGGCATACTTGAACTAATTGTGGGATGCTCTTATCTGGTTATTTTCAGATTTATTTCAACAGAAGAGAACACAAGATCCAACCAACACTTTCCTTCCTTGAATATAGATAGGGCTGTGGTAGCAGAGATTGATGGACACTTATGTGTTTTACACTAAGACCCTTGACCACCTACAGCTTCTTGGAGCTGTAATTACACAGGGTTCAGTTTCCAGATTGTGACTTTGGGAGGGCTTCTGAGTGACAATTCAGTTAAGCAAATATTCTGTAGGGAAGGCTGTGTGGGAGTCACAGACTGTTGAATTCTGTTTTCAAGGAGCTGACATTGTGAAATATCATTAATGCAAGGCAGAATGGGATAGTTACTGAGTGAAGAGTTTCAATAAATGTGTTATAAAAATTAAAAAGAGAAGAATTTCAAGTACATCCAGAAAGGATGGATGAAAGAGGTAGTGTCTAAGTTGGGGTTAAGATACAGTTCAAGGCGTCGTTGAACAGAATGAGCAAATGAGGAGGTGGGACAGCATAGGCAATGTACTAAAGGAGAAGGTTTCGTGTAAATGGCGCTAGTGGGAAAGAAAGCTGTAGGAACTGGTGGTGCCAGATTCTGGAGAACCTTGACAACTCAGTTGAAGAATTTTATACTTAATGTTGTCAAAATGGGAAATCATCAATGGTTCTTGATCAGAAGAATGATGGGTTAGTTGGAATGTATCAAGGTAGCAGAACCAATAAGTGAAATAGATTTTTTTGCAGTTTTAGTGGTTTATTTAGCACAAATAAAATGTGCAAGCAAACTTTGTATTAATTTTATTTGATGTGTAGTCTGGCATTTCCAACTACTGAATCTTCCTCTTTGTTCCCGACTTTTGCATTCCAGTCACCCATTATTATCAATGCATGTTGGTTGCATGTTCGATCAATCTC